CTTTAAAGTGTTAAGAAGCAAAATGTGACTTTGAAGACTAAGGTGCACCTACCCCAAGTCATGGTGTCTTCAGTAGCCTCATATGCCTGTGAAAGCTGGACAGTGAATAGGGAAGACCAAAGAGTTGATGCCTTTGAATTTTGGTATTGGCGAAGAATACTGAAAATACTGTGGACTGCCAGAAGAATGAACAAATCTGTCTTGGAAGAAGTGCAGCCAGAATGCTCCTTGGAAGCAAGAACGGCCAGATTTGTCTCACTTACTTTGGTTATGTTGTCAGAAGGGACCATTCCGTGGAGAAGAATATCATCCTTGGTAAAATGGAGGGTCAGTGAAAAAGGGGAAGACCCTCAACAAGATGGATTAACACAGTCAGTGCACCGATGGGCTCAAGTATAGCAAGGATTGCGAGGATGATGTAGGACTGGGCAGTGAATCGTTTTGTTGTATGTAGGGTCTCTGTGAGTTGGAGCCGACTTGAGGGCACCTAACAACAAGTGAAGCAGTTAGGCTCCCCTTCTCTTTCTGAGAGCATACATAAATCTGTTAAAGGAGACAAAGCACAAATTTTTTAAAATGTCTGCTAAATGTAACTTAAGCACATGCAAAGTCAAAGGGCTATCAGATTAAGAAACTAATAGCTGTAGGTATCAGTCTAGGAGTCCTTGGATGGTGCAAATGTGTAATGCACTTGGGTGCTGACTGAAGTTGGAGGTTTGAGTTCACCCAGTGGTGATTTGGAGGAAAGTCCTGGCTATCTCCTCCCGAACAATTAGCTATTGAAACACTGTGGTGTGCAGTTCTACTCTGGCACACATGAAGTCACCATGAATCAGAGTCAACTTGACAGTGACTTTTTTTCATTGTGTTTTATAAAAGTCAGTTACTTGGTGAATGATGCTAAAATTACTTGCAGAATTAAAAGCCATGTTACCTGTATCTTTTTAAAAGGCTTTAGATTAATTATTGTCATTATTATTTCTTAATCTGGCAGCTCTTACTACCTTACACATGAGAGGGGAATAAAAAAATTTAAAACATTTAATAGATAATACTTTTCCTCCATTGGCTTTGGTTGATGTAGATGCAAGGCCATTTTAAAAAGTTTAACCCTAATAACCTGTGCATTTATAAGACTTAGAGTGGAATTGTTTATGGTCTTCAGCCAATTCATATTTTGGCCATTCTTCTCTAAAGTAAGGTATTGCATAAAATGAGGTAACTTGCATACTTGTTGTTGTTGTTGTTGTTTTCCGTCGAGTCGGCCCCGACTCATAGCAACCCCTCCTTGGGTTTCCGAGGCAGTATCACTACGGAAGTAGGATTGCCCAACCTTCCTTCTGAGGAGTGGCTGGTGGGTTTGAACTGCCAGCCTTCTGGTTAGCAGTCAAGTGCTTTAGCCATTATGCTACCAGAGCTCCTAACTTGCATACTTAAAGTGGTCAAAATAAGTAGCTGCTAATAGTTATACTAGATTTAGGTTCTGATTTGGTGTGGTATCCTCTGTTATAAAGTTGGCAGTTAGTATTATACAATAAATGCTTCCTTAAAAGAAAAGCTAAAACAAAATAGAGGTGAAATATATTTTCCTAACTTTGTTTGAAAATTTTAAAATAGAAAAGTTGGAAAATAACACAATAAGCATCCATAGATAGGTTTTTTTTAAAAAGTGTTTGTAAGTTGGAGACGTTATACACTTCATCCATAAATACTTGAGCATACATCTTCTAGGTAGAAGAACATTACGACTTTTATAACTTCTATCCCCCTTTTGATCCAGACTACAATCCGGATTATACCTTGTATTTAGTTGTCATGCTTCCTTTAGAATACTTATTTCCCTTAGAATAGTTACTCCAAATTATTGGTTTGTCATGACATTGACATTTTTTAAGAGTTCCAGGCCAGTTGGATTTGTCTGATTGTTCATTCTTGAGTAGATTCTGATTACCCAGTTTTGGTAAATATTCTCCATAGGTGAATGGTAATGACTTCACTGATAACTTTGATTGTATGAATCAGCATGAAGCTGGTTCCTGTGAGTCGGAGGTTAAATATACTTCTACTTTCCATTGTCCCCATTTACTTCCAACACCAGCCATTCCATGTCACTCTCTCTCACTCTACTAGGTTCGATCATTTGTTGCAAAATTCACAAAACTCAAGGAAACGCCATATCTGCCATAACAACTTTAATCTAACAGAGAAGGATATAAATGAAGACATTGAAATGGCAACATTCAGAAGGGCTTCAACCTGGAGCCTCAATATCTCAAGGGGACCTGCTTACCATTCCCCAAAATTGATGTTCATCTTCACACACCAGGGAACTATCAGACAGGAAACTCAGTGATATCATGTGGCAGGTTCAGTTGCTGGCTGCTTATCTCAGCAGACCCTGCTGTTGTCTGCTCTTCTTTGTGGGCTCCTGGTTCCTTCATCTAGCTCCAAGCCAGCTTTAGGCTGACTCCAGCTCTAGGCTAACATCACGACAGCTCTTGGTCAGCCTCATCTCTAGGTTGGCATTATGACTGCTCTTGGAGCAGAACTGCTCTCAAGCAATACCCACTGAGTGTGCCCAAGCTCTATAGGCAACTCCATGCTTGGGATGCCCAAGCTTTGCAGGCCACTTTCACCTCTTGCTGCCACTTATCCTTTGAGAGGTGCTCTGAGCAAATGGTGCTACCTCTGCTTTACAGTTCGCTTCAGCTTCTTGCTGTTGCTTCTTTCCTTCAGACTAGACCCCACTGCTGCTGCTGTTGTTTCTTCTTATCACTGATGACTGCTCTGTTTTCTACCAGGTCTAGTTTTTTACCCACATCCAGCTTTCCATCAGTACTATAGTTCTTTTACAATTTTTCACCCTTAGTGTCTCTTAATACCAGGTCTGAGAGAGTCTCAGTGCAGGCTGTTTTGTCCAGACATGTCCCCTCCCAGTGGTCCTCAGTCTGACAGTTACAAAACCTCTGAGTTTCAGCTGTCTGTCTATATAAGCCATTTCTTGTCAGTTTCAAAGCAGAGCCTTCCTAGCCAAATCAGAGCCCAGCCAATCCTCTTAGCCAGATTAGAGCCCAACCAATCCTTGATTACCTAAGAAATGCCAGTCAACTCAGATCTTGTCAGTTACCACACAATTTGGGTAAAAGTACAAACCATCAAGTTGTTTACAATTTATTCTGGAAATGGCAATCAACTCAAAAAATCTCCTTGCAAGTTGTTTTCTTCCATAAACCCAAGTAAAAAGTCCATATAAGGGAACCTTTTATACCACAGTAAGTGATAGGGGGCACATTATCAGTTTGTCCTCTTATTGGTAATGTTTTGATCCCTCCATTTTGTAGCTACTTTTCCCCTTACAATTAATAAGCTCTCCATGGGTTGGTAGTTTGAGACTGTGAATATTGTTTCCTAACAATCTTTCATTCATTGATTTTAATATTCATTGATGATTTTTGCCTGAATCAGTTGTTATAATGTGGTTACAAATGGTGATTTCTAATTCTATTATCCTTTTTACCTTTATTAGGAAAGGAAATATTTTCCATTCTTACATGGAAATATTTCCTTTGTAGGAATGTACCACAGATTATTCAACCAGTCTCTTAGTTTTGGATATTTGAATTGCTTCTAACATTTGCTGTAATAAATAATAACTGAAAGAATAACCTTTTGTGTGTGTTTGTATGTGCTTAGTTGGAGATACATCTTCAGGGTAAATTCCTAGAAAGCGATTTACTTGGTGAAAGGATTAATGCATAATCTTAAAATTCTGATAATAAGGAGCTCTGGTAGTGTAGTGTTAAGGCATTTGACTGCATAAATTAATCTTGCTAGATTTCTCTCCATTGGCATTATGCCTTTTAGCCTTTCTACCAGCAATATTTGAATGAGTATGCACATACCCTTGCTTATAGACTGCATTTGTTAAGATTTTGATTTTTTACCAATCTGATAAGTGACAAATGGTATCTCAGTATAGTTTCAATTTGCATTTTCCTTATGGATAATATTGAGTCTTTTTTCCCCCCACTTTTGTAAGGGTCATTGGTATGTCTGTGGACTGTTTATCTGTTCATTTAATTTTTTCTATTAAAAAAGGTTCTAATCTTTTTTTTTTTCTCAATTTTTAATATATTGAGAATTGATCTTTATATATCAGGGGAATTAGCCCTTTATTTGTGATATATGTCACAATTATTAGAGTACAAATTTTAAACTTTATTTCTGTCACAGGAATCCTGGTTTTATGCATATAATTAAGGAATTGGAAGTTGGTGTGTCCTCATCTGTATTGTTTCATTATTTCAGTTTTATGAGTCATGTAGATTCAGTTTATTTTTGGATTTTCACTGTAAAAGGTAAAATAATCATATAGTAAACATTTTAAAAAACCAATCAAATTATTTGTTTATTTACTGAGATTTTATGAAGGAGTCAGATATACCAAATATGTGCAAACATGCATATATGATTTTCATAATACTATTTCTGACAATAAGGAGCTCTGGTAGTGTAGTGTTAAGGCATTTGACTGCTAACCAGAAGGTTGGCAGTTCAAACCCACCAGCCACTCCATGGAAGGAAGACATGGCAATCTATTTTTGTAAAAATTTACTGCCTCAGAAACCCAGTGGAGGTTGCTGTGAGTTGGAATCAATTTGATGGCATTGGGTTAGGTTTTCTTTTTGTTTTTTATTTCTGATAATACTGCATCTTTTTCACATTTCAGAGCGAACAAAAACAAAATATGAGATCCTGATTTCCTTTTTAAAAAGGTTAAAATACTTTAGAATCAAATGATAATCTTTCATTGAAATGAGAAGAGAATGTTAATAAGAATTTGTTGATGGCTATAATTGTATTAAATATGAACGTTTCTTTCTAGGAAATAATAAATTATGTTAATAAGAATTTGTTGATGGCTATGATTGTATTAAATATGAACGTTTCTTTCTAGGAAATAATAAATTAACATGAACTGCTTTCTTTGTGTGTTTTAGGTTTTGACAACAATCCGTTCAGGACACCGGGCAAATATATTTAGTGCAAAGTTCTTACCATGTACAAATGATAAGCAGATTGTATCTTGTTCTGGAGATGGAGTAATATTTTATACCAATGTTGAGCAAGATGCAGAAACCAACAGGCAATGCCAATTTACGTGCCATTATGGAACTACCTATGAGGTACAGTATTTTGGTTACATATATAAATATATATAAATGTATATGTAAAACTTTGTGTGAATGTATCTGTATATATGTATATATGTGCATATGTACATGTGTATGTATATATACACACACACATACACATTCATACATGTATGAGCAAAGAAATGAAGATTATTATTTTCCCATAATAAGTTAGTTACTGTTAATTTAGATTTACCCATCTACTTACCAATATCTTTGGTTTAACATTCCTTCTAAATCTGTATTTCTGCAACGATTTGAGAAAATGTGTTTTGGTGCATCTGTGGATGAAGTTTAAAAAAAAAATGTTGTAAATAATAGTATTGTTAGATGGGCTTTGCTTGACTAACAATTAAGATGCTCTAGGTTCTGGTATCCTAGTGCCTAAGACATTTGACTGCTAACCAGAAGGCTGGCAGTTCAAACCCACCAGCCACTCCTCGGAAGGAAGGTTGGGCAATCTACTTCGATAGAGATACGGAAGGGTCACTGTGAGTCAAATTGACTCGACAGCAGTGAGATTTTTGTGTTTTTTAAGAGAACAGATGCCTCTGTTATTGTGCTACCTAGCTTTGCATTAGACATTAGCCTCTTAACTAGTTTTTATCACTGACTTGCATAAATTCTGTGCTGGAATACTTATTAAATTTTCACATGTCAAAAGGAACACTAGTATATCAGACAAAAGAATCAGATTTCTAAAGGATATTAATAATCTCAAACCTGGGCTGAATTGAATGGGGTGAAATGAATTTAAGACTCATTTATAGTGCTGGTTGCAGAAAAATTGTCACACTACAGAGTGCTCTTTTAAAATATTTTCATGTTATTTCCTTCCATAGAATTAATTATTCAGTGGTTTTTGTTAACATGGTATATCTTTTTTGAATATCCTTTGAATTTCAGTTCTTTGTATTTTCATGTGTTGGTATGTACTTATATGGATAGTGTATAGCTGGATTTTGTTGTCTTATCTAATTTTGTGTTGTTTTTATTTTTCTCTCTTAATCACATTTCCTACCCCCTACCCCTTTTGAATTGCTTGAGGGCATTGCTTTTTGTCTATTTTGCTTCTGCCACTAGGTTGGAAGATAGACATTTGCTCTACTATTTTAGAGGTTACCCTAGTGATTTTAACATGCATAGCAAAGTCTAAAGTCAATAAATAGGCACTCTGGTGGTGTAGGGGAGCTCTGGTGGCTAAGGGACTTGACTGCTAACCAGAAGGTTGGCGGTTCAAACCCACCAGCTGCTCCTCAGAAGGAAGATTGGCAATCTACTTCTGTAGTGATACTGCCTCAGAAACCCAAGGAGGGGTTGCTATGAGTCAGACCTGACTCAATGGCACATAATAACAACAGCAACAACTGGTGGTGTAGTGGTTAAGGTATTTGGCTGCTAACCAAAAGGTCAGTGGTTCAAACCCACCAGCCACTCCATGAAAGAAAGTTGAGGCTGTCTACTTCTGTAAAGATTTATAGCCTTGGATTCCCAGTAGGGGTTGCTGTGAGTCAGAAACAACTTGATGGCAGTGAGTTCAGTTTTGTGAAAGTCAATAAGTACCTTTAACTTTCTCCTGAATAATTTTATATGCTCTTCAGATTGGCAGTTTGAACCCACCAGCCACATTGCAAGATAAAGATGAGGCACTCTTTACAGCCTTGGAAATCTTATGGGGCAGTTCCACTCTGCCCTATAGGGTCACTATGAGTCAGAATAGACCCGATGGCAGGGAGTTTGGGTATTGTCCAGAATTCAGTTATATTTTCCCATAATGTATTAGATATTATCATTGTTTATTTAGATCTACCCATCTGCTTACCAATACCTTTGGCTTATCATTCCTTTTTATATCACAGATCTTTCACTTCAGGTTATGTTGTGCCTAAAAGATGTCTTTTCAAATTTTTTTTTATTAAGAGTCTGTTAGCAGAAGACAGCTTTAGTTTTTTTGTTCCTTTTCTTACTCTTTCCTGTCCTTTCTGTCGTCTTTTCTGGAAGCTATCTTTTTCACATCAATTCTTCAGCGATTATTTTGCTGAATGAAGACTTTCAGATTTCTAGTTACTGTATTTAAGATGATATCCCACCATATTCTTTTTTCCATTGCTGATGTTGAAAAGTCAGTAATTAGTATAATTATGGTTAACTCCCTGATTATCAGTAAACTCCCTGAGTAATTTTAGTCATGTTTTTCTTTAGTGGTTATTTTTCTTCTTCAGTGACAACATTATGTCTGGATATGGATTTCTTTTTTATTTTTCATGTTTGGAATTTATTGATATTCTCAATCTGAGAACTGGCATCTTGAACAATGTGGTAAATGTACAGTCCATATGTCTTCACCGTTTCTTCATTATTTTCTTCTGGAGCTTTGATTACATGGTTACCATCTACTACTTAAAAATTTTTTTTTTTTTAATTTAATTGTAAAGCACAGAAAAGTAATGTGAACCTATTCATGTAACCTCTGTTGAGAAATAGAATACATCCAACATTACAGAAGCCTCTCATTTTGACTTCTGAGATTCTAGATTTTCCTAACACACTAGTTTTTCTGTTTTTGAATTTTATATAAATGGAATCATACTATATGTTTTTTGTATCTGGCTTCTGCTGAAAAATTTTTTACTTTATGAAATTTATCTATGTGGGTACACTTGTAATTTATCTAGTTTTGATTGCTCTATGATATTTCATTGCTGCATAATATACCACAATTGGCTTATCCATTTTATCATTGATGGAAATTTGGTTTTCCAGTTTGTTGAACCTTCTATATGTGAATTTTAGTACACAAATGCATGTATTCTTAGGATATATACTTACAGGTGAAATTATTGAATCAAAGAATGTATATTTGTTTATTTTAGAAATAATGCCAAATATTTTTCCAAAGTGGTTGTAACAAATTGATATTCCCACTAACAGCTTATGATAGTTCCTGTTGCTCCTCATCTTTGCCAATAATTTCTATTGCCATTCTCTTTCATTTTGGCCCAGGTAGTTGTAAGAACCAAGACTAAAGGCCATGTAGAGGAATTCATTCAAACACAGTGGTATTACTTTATTGTGATTTCAATTTGACTTTCCCTGGTGATACTATTGATGGCGAACATCTTTTCATATGTTTGTCATTTGGATATACTCTTGTGAAGTGCCTATTGAAGTTTATTGCTTATTTTTTCTTTTGTGTAATTATTATTTAATAGAACTTTTCTATGTACTCTACATATGACCCTATCTTTTCTTACTTGCTTGTCTACATTTTCACTCTTGGGGTGTCTTTTGATGAACAGAGAATTCTTAATGTTTTCCTACATATTGATCTCTTCCTTTATGGTTAGTGCTTTTTTGCATCCTGTTCAAGAATTTTTTTCCTGTACCAAGGTCATGGAGATATTCTCCTATTTCCTTCTCTACAAACTGTATTGTTTTACTTTCACAGTTAGATCTACAATCCACCTAGATTTGATATTTTAATAGTAGGAAGCAGGAGTAAACTTTATTTTCTTCCATATGAATATCCATTTGACCCAACATCGTTTGAAGAAACTGATTTTTCCCTTCTATTTTACAGCATGACAGTAATCGTAAATTAAGGATTTATAAGTATTTATTGGGTATAAGCCCATTTCTTGATTCCTTATTCTGCTCAGTACTTTCTGTCAGTATTTTTTTTAATGCTGGACTGTTTTAATTACTGTGGCTTTATAATGAATATTTACGTTCATTAGAGTAAGTTCTCATTCATACTTCGAGAGTGTTTTGGCACTTTTTGGCTTTTTGTGTTTTAATATAAAATTTCAAATCAACATGCTAATTTTTACCAAACAAAAATTTTCAGAAATTTTTATCGTGAGTATATTTAATTTGTAGATAAATTTATAGAGAACTGATATCTTTCAAATATTGAAGCTTCCAGTCAATCAGTATGATATATTTCTCCATTTTTATGGTTTTTAATTTCTCTTAATGTTTTATGGTTCTCTCTATAGCAGTATAGATTGAATTGTGTCCCAAAATGTGTGTTGGACTACTGATCCTCCTATACCGTGGATGTGAAGCTATTTGGAAATAAGTTTTTATATTAATGGCCATATCACTGTAGGGTGAATCCTAAACCTAACCACTTCTAACTTATAAAAAGGACAGATTAGATGCATAATAAAGGGCATCTATGCAAAATCAATAGCCAACATTATTCGCAATGGAGAGAGAATGGAACCATTTCCTCTGCAAACAGGAACCTGACAAGGATGCACTCTATCACCACTTCTGTTCAACATTGTACTGGAAGTCCTAGCCAGGGCAATAAGGCAAGAAAGGGAAATCAAAGGCAACCAAATCAGCAAGGAAGAAGCCAAACTATCCCTATTTGGTGATGATAAGATCCTGTACCTAGAAAACCCAAAAGACTCATTAAAAAATCTACTGGAACTAATTGAGAGATTTAACACAGTGACAGAATACAAGATCAACATACAAAAAGCAGTTGGATTCCTCTACACTAGTATACTAAAGAGAGTGCTGAAAAGGAAATCAATACCATGTACAATGTTGTTGTTGTTATGTGCCGTCGAGTTGGACCCGACTCATAGCGACCCCTCCTTGGGTTGCCGAGGTAGTATCACTATGGAAGTAGATTGCCCAACCTTCCTTCCAAGGAGTGGCTGGGGGGTTTGAACCGCCAGCCTTCTGGTTAGCAGTCAAGTGCCTTAGGTACTATGCTACGAGAACTCTGAAACTGGATATCCATTTACAGAAAAATGAAACAAATGAAACAAGAAAAATGAAACAAACACACCATACACAAAAACTAACTCCAGAGGGATCAAAGACTTAAATCTGAAACCTAAAACTAGAAAAGTTCCTCAACAAAAAGTAAGGAAAATTTTTATTTTATTTATTAGGGCTCTAAATTATGGCATAAATAGACTGTCAAACAGAACCCAAAATGCCTTCTATTCCTCTTTTTGAGAGTTTCAATC